AATAACGGAACTGTTTATGCAGACACGAATTTCCCGTCAAAAAAGGAATAATTTAAATAGGGAGATTGAAGAAATCGAGCGGAAATTGAAACACTCATATGAAACTGAAGAAAGGCAGTTAGAACAGAAAGCAATTCAGGAAATAAAGAAAAATCCAAAATATTTCTTCACATATGCGAAATCAAAAGCAAAAACCACTGCCAGTATTGGACCCATTCGTGCAAGTGAAGGTTCATACACGGAGGATGACAAAGAAATTAGTGAAATCCTAAAAAAGCAGTATGAGGACATGTTTAGCACTCCAATAAACAACATGAAAGTGGAAGATCCAGACAATTTCTTTATGCGGGATATTCAAACCCCTGTAAATATAACTGATATCAACACGAGCGCACTAAATTTTGAAAGAGAAATTGAAAACATGCCCATGTACTCGGCCCCAGGTCCAGACTCATGGAATTCAATATTTATAAAGAAATGCACAGTGCCGGTAGCACAGGCACTCAGTATAGTGTGGAGGAAGAGCTTGGGCACGGGGGAATTGAAATTGAAATTGAAATAAGTTTATTGATGTAGAATACACACAAAGGGATGGGGTAGTTCAAGCTATTCTCACCCCGTTCAGTACATCGTTTTAATACATACATATACACACATCACAAACAATAAACATATTACCAAACATTCTGAGAGATAATCATATACATTTCCTCCTTCACAAGTAGTATGGTATCAGATGTACACATAAATACTTTTATGACCGAGGTATACTGTATAGACAATTTGCAAGAGACATGCAGATAATTCAACAAAAAATTACAGTCTTGGTGCAAAATTCTTATATCTCTCAAGAATATCATCAACCTTTCCGTTGAGGACTCGGGGGAGATACCAGATGCACTTAAAGTAGCAGACATAGCCCCTCTACACAAGGGAGGGAGCAAAGCATTGGCAAAGAATTATAGACCAGTTGCACTAACATCGCACATCATAAAAGTATTTGAGAGAGTGATTAGGAGTCAGGTCACCAATTTCATGGAGACCAATGACCTTCACAACCCAGGCCAACATGGATTTTGAACGGGAAGATCGTGCCTCTCACAGCTACTTGAGCACTACGACAAAGTCACTGAGGCATTAGAAGAAAAACAAAATGCTGATGTGATATACACGGACTTCGCAAAGGCTTTCGATAAATGTGACCATGGCGTGATATCACACAAAATGAAGTCAATGGGAATAACCGGTAAAGTAGGACGCTGGATACTCAGTTTTCTGTCAAACAGGACTCAGCGAGTAACGGTCAACCATATAAAATCTAGTCCAAGTGCAGTTAAAAGCTCTGTACCTCAGGGTACAGTCCTTGCACCGCTGCTTTTCCTTATTCTCATATCAGATATAGACAAAAATATGAGTCACAGCTTCGTATCATCCTTTGCAGATGACACAAAAATCAGTATGAAAATTACCTCGGCTGAAGACATTGAAAAACTTCAAGCTGATATTAATAAAGTTTTCGACTGGGCATCAGAAAATAACATGATGTTTAACAGTGATAAATTCCAGGTACTCAGGTACGGTAAAAATGAGGGCCTTAAGCATAATACAGAGTACAAAACACAATCAAATGTACCCATAGTAGGAAAACAGCATGTAAAGGATTTGGGAATAATAATGTCTGACGACCTAACGTTTAAGGAGCATAACCAAGCAAATATTGCGACAGCCAGAAAAATGATAGGATGGATTACGAGAACTTTCAAATCCAGGGATCCCATCACAATGGTTGTACTCTTCAAGTCACTTGTGTTGTCCCGTCTTGAGTACTGCTCAGTACTCACTTTCCCCTTCAGAGCAGGAGAGATTGCTGAAATAGAGGGAATACAGAGAACATATACGGCACGCATAGACGCAATAAAGCACCTAAATTATTGGGATCGTCTCAAAGCCCTCCAAATGTACTCACTAGAAAGAAGACGAGAGAGATATCAAATAATATACACCTGGAAGATAATGGAGGGCCAAGTACCAAATCTACACAGTAAAATAACAACGTACTGGAGTGAACGTTATGGAAGAAAATGCAGAATAGAACCAGTGAAGAGCAGAGGTGCCATAGGCACAATCAGAGAACACTGTATAAACATCAGAGGTCCGCGGTTGTTCAACGTCCTCCCAGCAAGCATAAGAAATATTGCCGGAACAACCGTGGACATCTTCAAGAGGAAACTACATTTATTCCTCCAAAGAGTGCCGGACCAACCGGGCTGTGGTGGGTATGTGGGCCTGCGGGCCGCTCCAAGCAACAGCCTGGTGGACCAAACTCTCACAAGTCAAGCCTGGCCTCGGGCCGGGCTTGGGGAGTAGAACAACTCCCAGAATCCCATCAACCAGGTATTAACCAGATATCCCAGGTCGTCCGCAGGGTTATCAAATCCAGCCAGCCTGCGGTCTATCCTCGTGCCCATGACGTCTGTAAGTTCGTGGCTCTTGCTGCCGTCTTTGGGAATATGTTTTGGTCTGATATTAGGGCGTGGGGCTTTTAGCGGTCGAAAAGGGTCCTGGCTGCTCGTTACCTCGTGAATGTCCCTGGGCCCCGTCGGGCCTGTGTTGCTTTGGGTCAGCGGTTGCAGTCAGTTGTCTCGACTTCGAGTTGAGGAGTGAGCGACTACCACCTCTCAGGTAAGTCCCTCTTTTCCAGTCTGTGGGTAGTTAGCGCGGGGAGCCGACGGGGCTCCCCCCAGAAAACCAGCGTTGAATGTAATGAAACCCCATTTTCTGGGTGAGTCCCGGAGGCTCCCCCGCATCCCTCCCTCCCCCCGGTCAGCGTTTTTTCGTGTTTTTGACATCCAGCCTCAGAACTGAGGTGTGGGTAGCTGGCATGAAGGGTCTGGGGCTCCCACTTTCCCCTCCTGGGGAGGGGGGAGCTGCGCAGACAGCGGCGCGGCGACGTGTGACGTCACACTAGTTTGCTTGTTTTCTTTTGGGGAGTTCTATCCACTAGTTTGGCTTTTGGTAGCAATTTTAACCAGAATATTGGTTTGTTTTGGGGCGCTTACCTTTCTGGGTGCCTGATCCAGTCGATGGCAAACATATAATGCTTCCAACCACATGGGGGGTTTCTATAGGCCATTGCTCCCCTTGCCTCTCTGAGGGGGGCCCAGTTCTAGCCGTGGTCCCTGGTAGGCCTAAGAACTCCATACACATGACTGATGCCAAAGTCTGACATTAGCATAACATCCTGGGATAGCTCCGGGAAGCCTCCGGGACTCACCCAGAAAGTGGTGTTTCATTACATTCAACAATGGTTTTTTAATGTTGTCTCAAGGGAGCCGGTCGGCCGAGCGGACAGCACGCTGGATTTGTGATCCTGTGGTCCTGGGTTCAATCCCAGGCGCCGGCGAGAAACAGTGGGCAGAGTTTCTTTCACCCTATGCCCCTGTTACCTAGCAGTAAAATAGGTACCTGGGTGTTAGTCAGCTGTCATGGGCTGCTTCCTGGGGGTGGAGGCCTGGTCGAGGACCGGGCCACGGGGACACTAAAAAGCCCCGAAATCATCTCAAGATAACCTCAAGATTAGATAGTGGAATAAGACTTTTAATTGAATGAAGAGGAATTCAAGATGTAGGGAAACAACCTAGTAGATAAATGACACAAATGTATATTTATAAAACACACGCAACATTACATAACAGAATTCTTTCCTTATAATTCAATGCATTCAGAAGGAAAACAACATTGCCTCTTATAGCCCAATAATGGGCTCTGGTCCCCATACAGCTCTTAATCCAATACTGGAACTATGCACTCTAGCCCTACTTCTGTCTGCCTTTATCACACATATATAAATCCCTAGGAAATATGGACTCTCTCTCAAAACTAACTGATCCGTAGGCTATCTATGCATTCTACTCTTCTTTGCAACCCTGTGAATACAATCCTGTGGCTTATCTGATTGTACGACCGGAGATATCCCTTAGAAAACAAGAACTGGTCAGACAGCTGGTGCTCCACATCAGGTCAGAAATGGCCTTTGCGTCCCCGGTTGCATCATCGCCCCTAATACTCCATTCTTCAACATTTCCAATCCAACTCCTTAATTACTCCATTAACCACATTCCCCATGTAGGTCATTTGATTGAGTCCACTTTTCCTTCACGCAGTTTGGCTATTCCAATACACAATATTCATGAATGCTCTCCAGTTGAAGGGTTTACTTTGCTGACAGAATAATAATAGTCACTCACGACCTCCCAGTTGCCAGCTTCAGATTTCTTTCAAGAAAATGTTCTCTAATCAACTCCTTTGTGTTAATAAATAATATATAATAGAAACTAACCTCCACAGGAGATAAGGTTTGTAACAGCCTGGAGGTGTGAATGGCTTTATAACTGGCTAGATTGTATAGTTAGGCATGGTCTTTACCTAGCCATGTTTCTGTTAAAATATTGAACGATAGCGTAGTGCCTAGCACTTCCATCATAACCTGGGGTTCTGTTCCAGATGGGCAGTTTCTTCATCTGCAGGCTTGTCTTTTTCTAGCTAAGAATGAGATGGCTGGCCAGGTTTCAGCCTCTGGTCCCCAGCTAGCTTTTAATGAATCACAAAGGCATGGTGTGACTTGAATTGGGTGGAGGTAACCAGGTAGCTAGCAACAGGAAGCTACTGAGGACCCCACAGAAAAAGGTGTCTCATTACATTTAGAACTTTGTGTTTTCCGCTTGGCCTGGGTTGATCTAGTATCTCCAGACCCCCCCATGCCTCTACTGAGTGGACCAGATTTTGCTTCTGGTCTCCAGTAGGTGCTCATGACTCACAAGGGTCTAGTGGAGCACATTAGCCTTGGAGCTACCTTTCTCAGGGAGCCCCTGAGGGAAGACCCACCAGAGGCATTTCATTACATTCAACACTTGATTTATATATAAAAGTAATCTTATGAAAAACTTGTACATCAACCTCAGTTTCCTAGAAATGTATATTTACCTTCTTTTTCCTTTCAGTTCTTATCCAGACCATGTGGTCAAGATTGGTATTAGAGACTTAGGACGAGAGGACTTACTGGAGGCAGTAGCTCGTAGATTCCAAGAGAGAATATTAGTGAATCAAAGCAAGTATGAACTTCTACAGCTTTTACAATATTCAGATGCTTTTACTGTTAATCCAGAAGAGGCACGCATTCATGCTGTTCCAATGAACCAGGTAGGAATAATGTATTGGTAATAGGCTTTTATGCTCCTCCAATGAACCAGGTAGGAATAATGCATTTTAAATAGGTATCATGCTTTTCTATTGCACCAGGTGAATATGCTGTATTGCACCCATACAATTACCCACTGTTGCACGTTGCCCTGTGGTGCTAACTGGTACAGGTACTCCAGCAGATTCCCCGAGGACTATAACTCACATTAAAACCTTGGAGTGTGGTGGAGTCGAATGAGGGAGCACTAAGACAACTTCAGCCACGTTTCTGCTTCTTGGGGTGTCTGCCACAATACTTAACACTATCGCTCGCTTTGGACACCGATCACATCCATTTTTTTTTCTCCTGAGTCCTAGCCATGGACAGGACTCGCGTCCACTTCAAAAATATTTGTATAAACTTAATTTTTTATCTGATCGACCTCGGGATAGTTTCAAAATAAGCGCCTTTAGAATGCGCACAATTTGATACCAAAATGAAAGATGTAACACGAAACTTGATGTCAGAACACTTGAAAGATTATAAATACGTTTTTGGGTCTAAATTTTTAAATTTAAAATACTTGTTAAAATTCTATTTATTGTGCTATTATTATGGGACTAGTTTTAAAATGTGCGCCTTTAGATTGTAAACAATTTGATACCAAAACGAGTGACGTAACACAAAAATTGATGTCAGAACACTGGAAAGATATAAATAATTTTGATGATTAGCGTCCAAAATTAAAATATTTGTTAAAATTGCAGTTATTGCTCTATTATTATGAGACCATTTGTTGGAAATGGTCCCTTTTGGACCATTTCCAAAAATTTTTATACCACACTCATGATTTGAATTGACACACACTAATTAGTGTGTGGGGCTGGTGGGTGGTTAGCTGCCTAGCTGGTAGGTGGGCAGGAAAAGTGGGTGGGCAGGCAGGTGGGTGGGTGGGCAGGCAAGGATAGGTGGGTTCAGGCAGGTGGGTTTTGGATGGCAGGCAGATGGGCTTGGTGGGTGAACAGGTTCGAGTTAGAGAATTGTTGTTAGAGAAAAAAATTGTATTCAGTATAAAATGTATTTTTAAGTTAATATTTTTGGGGGTGTGGAACGGATTAATTCAATACCCATTATTTCTTATGGGAAAATTCGTTTCGACTAACGATATTTCGATTTAGGATCCGTCTCTGGAAACGGATTAAAATCGTAAGTCAAGGCCCCACTTGTAATGTAATGTTGCATGTGTTTTGTAAATATACATTTGTGTCATTTATCTACTAGGTTGTTTCCCTACACCTTGAATTCCTCTTCGTTCAATTAAAAGTCTTATTCCACTAGACAACATTAAAAAACCATCGATGAATGTAATGAAACGCCATTTTCTGGGTGAGTCCCGGAGGCTTCCCGGAGCTATCCCAGGATGATATGCTAATGCCAGACTTTGGCATCAGTCATGTGTATGGAGTTCTTAGGCCTACCAGGGACCCGGCCAGAACCGGGCCCCCCTCGGAGAGGCAAGGGGAGCAATGGCCTATAGAAACCCCCGTGTGGTTGGAAGCATTCTATGTTTGCCATCGACTGGATCAGGCACCCCAGAAAGGTAAGCACCCCAAAACAAGCCCCTATTCTGGTTAAAATTGCTGCCAAAAGCCAAACTAGTGGATAGAACTCCCCAATAGAAAACAAGCAAACTAGTGTGACGTCACATGTCGCCGCGCCGCTGTCTGCGCAGCTCCCCCCTCCCCGGAAGGGGGAAGGGGGAGCCCCAGACCCTTCATGCCAGCTACCCACACCTCAGTTCTGAGGCTGGATGTCAAAAACACAAAAAAACGCTGACCGGAGGGAGGGAGGTATGCCGGGAAGTCTCCGAAACTCACCCAGAAAATGGCGTTTCATTACATTCAACGCTGGTTTTCTGGGGGGAGCCCCGTCGGCTCCCCGGAACTAACTACCCACAGACGGGAAAAGAGGGACTTACCTGGGAGGCGGTCATCGCTCACTCCTCAACTCGATGTCGAGACACCTGGCTGCAACCGCCAACCCAAAGCAACACAGGCCCGTCCTGGGTTTTCTTCATCTGCAGCCATCTCCCTTTTTCTGGCGAAAGATGTGCCTGCTGCTTTCCGGAGGGGTCCTTGGGTTGTTGTCTCAACTTCGTGTTGAGGAGTGGTGCACCGACTGCCTCCCGGGTATGTCCCCTTGTTTTCTTAGGTAATCTTTGGTGAAGTAGCTCCGGGGAGCTGTAGGGGCTCCCCCCAGAAAACCAGCATTGAATGTAATGAAACGCCATTTTCTGGGTGAGTCCCGGAGGCTCCCCGGCACCCTCCCGCCCTCCGGTTGGTGGTTTTTTCGCAGTTTTGATATCCAGCCTCAGAACTGGGGCGGGGATCGCCGGCGCGGGGGTCTGGGGCTCCCCCTTCCCCCTCCCGGGAAGGGGGGAGCTGCGCAGACATGCGACGCAGCTCGTGTGACGTCATGCTTGTTAGTTCGTTTTTCTTGGGGAGTTCTGTCCACTCGTTTGTCGATTTTTGTTGTTAACCAGAATGGGGGTTTGTTTTGTGGCGCTTACCTTTCTGGGTGCCTGTCCCGGTCGATGGCAGATATAGAATGCTCCAAATCACATGTGCAATTCTATGGGCCATTGCTCCCCTTGCCTCTCTGAGGGGGGCATTTTCCCATTTTCTGGGTGAGAAAACCCCATTTTCTGGGTGAGACCCGGAGGCTCCCCGGCAACCCTCCCTCCTTCCGGTCGGTGGTTTTTCATGTGTTTTGACATCCAGCCTCAGAACTGATGGGTCGATAGCTGGCATGAGAGGTCTGAGGCTCCTCCTTCCCCCTCCCGGGGAGGGGGGAGCTGCGCAGACAGCGGCGCGGTGACGTGTGATATCATACTAGTTTGCTTGTTTTTTGTTGGGGAGTTCTATCCACTAGTTTGGCTTTTGGTAGTAATTTTAACCAGAATAGGGGTTTGTTTTGGAATGCTTACCTTTCTGGATGCTTGACCCGGTCGATGGCAGACATGGAATGCTTCCAACCACACGGGGTTTCTATAGGCCATTGCTCCCCTTGCCTCTCTAAGGGGGGCCAGGTCCTGGCGGTGGTCCCCGGTAGGCCCTAGAACTCCATACACATGACTGATGCCAAAGTCTAACATTAGCATATCAGCCTGGTAAAGCTCCGGGAAGCCTCTGGGTCTCACCCAGAAAATGGTGTTTCATTGCATTCAACGCTGGGTTTTTTTTTGTTTATTTTGCTTTGTCAACAGTTGTTATAATTTTAGTGATCGTTGAGACTAATGAAAAACATTTTGATGCTTGCAATACCTTATTTCTTTTCAGTTACAGGTATCTGCTCATAAGAAATGGAACCAAGAACATCCAACAGTCAGTATTATGTTGACAGCTCTGTATGTAGGTTGGCAAAATGGGCCTTACAGCAGTCAGCATAAAAACGGTTTCTTCACTGTACCCTACAGTGATCATTCGTCATACAGTGAGCTACTGGAAATGGTGGCCCAATTAGCACCTCATCAAGTAATACCTATAGTGCAGAAGTGGTCAACTTTTGGTTGGTGGTCAAGTTCATCTGCTCCTAATCAAATGGTTAAAGCTGATATGTCTGTGTACAGTCATTTTCTTACATTCCCACCACCTGAGCCAATATTGATACCTGATGCTATTGCCGATTTAATGCGTGAAGGAGGCCCAATGTTGTTAGCACACCAGCCTCGTCGCTGTAACCTACATCGTGGTTTGACTCCCAGACCCAGACGAACTTTAGGAGTAGTTTACACTACACCTGAGTGTTCCTCTTCATCCGTTTCCCTACTGACTACTTCACCTGCTTTAAGTAGGCCCACCAGTATGATGTCACAGTTGAACTATCAAAATCCCAATGAAGATACTCGTGGGGATTTAATGTTGAAAGATGATGAACAATTCCATCAAATGCCACTTGCTAATGATAGGTCTTCATCGTTACTTAAAAAAGTCACTTTGGAAAAGTTTACAGGCAACTCCACAAATGGAACAATTTTTAAAGACCAAAATAAACAAAATATCAGAGAAGCATCTGATGACAAGATATCAAAAAATGAGTTCTCAACATCCACAGAAGTAGCATCAAATTACTCTTTTTGTAGTCCCACTGAAGGAATGCAAGTAAATATACCAAATCCCAATAAAGACAGCCCTGAGGATCATGCCAGAATACAACGTTTGTTTTGGATGGAGCGTGCTTCAGCACTTATGTTATCTCAGTGTTCCCTTCTAATGGATGACAATGGGAATACTGTAAATGAATTGTCATCATTGGTGGAAAATACTGAACCCATATGTGATTCGCTTCATAATCTTATCTCTTTATTATGAACTTGGAATTCTGTCACAACACTGTAAGTGTTCTACAAAAAGGGTGAGGAAGCTGTGAGGATAAATTCTCTGTTTGTTATTTATCTTGAGATATCAGTTACAATTTGGAATGTGATGTGTGAGTTTTTAAATTCTATCAAGTCAGTGGTGAATGTTGGAGCAGTTCTCATGATAACACAGCACACCTGTCGACCTTATTGACTCGTGGATACTGGAGGTTATTGCTTGTTTTCCCTCATTGTCATTATAAAAAATGCTTAGATATTATAAACCATATCAGATGCTGCCTCATGGTTTTTGGCTTTTTTTTGGAATGATCATGTTACTTTTTAAAAATAAATGGAATGTTATACTTATTTTGTTTTCTGGGAGGGTCCTTCTCAGTGGCTCCTCGAGTTACATACTGGTATACCACACCAAGCTCTTATCAATTCACGATCTCCTACAAGAGACAAGTACCAGAATATGGTCCACTCAATTAAATGAAGGGAAGTTTGGGGATCTAAGACCACCACAATAACCAAGAGACCAGAAAAGTAGAGCACACCAAAACAATTGTATGGATCACATTTGCAATGCTGATTCTAAGTACAGTATATATAAAGTCATTATCCATGTTGAGCAATTGACTTGTAACCATCAGGTGGCAGCCTTAGTAACCTGGGTCCTCAGATCAGCCGACCCATCATTCACACCCCTGGTGTTGCCCTGTCCAGTACTGTGCCAGTACTATTGGACTCAGTTCTCCTTTTCAGATGTGTGTGTTGGCCATTCTTTGGACTTCATCCAGCTTAAGGGCCTGTGCTTCGTTTGCTCCTGTTAGCTTTGTGTATGCAGTTTGTGCCTCATTTTGCATGTGCCCAGGCATTAATGTTGGCTAAAGCTGTATGGGGCCCAGGGTTTCTTTCCATGTTTGCTAGTAGCCTTGTCCCTGCTCTCAGCTAGGGTTATCTACCCTAAGGAGACCTGGCTTCCCCAAGCCTGAAGCAGACACAGTTCTGTCAGAGATTCCTAATGTGACCCATTATTTTTGGAAATTTTCTTTGCGACTTTGGGTTCTTCTGGGGAACTGTTCTTATTTTTTATTTATGTGTCAATGTATGGGTCTCTGGCATCTCACAGGGATTTAATCTTTCCCAGAGTTATCTTTTGTTGTTGCGAAGGTGTTCCAGATGTTGGGTCTTAGGAACCCTTTAATGCGAGGAAGGTCCTCCTTAACCTCCTTCGCAGTTAGCTTTTGTTTATTCCACAGCTTCCCATCTTAGGTGTTTCCAAGTAGTTTGGATTTGCTGCTCCACAAGTTTTCTGGGTCTCTTCATACTTCAGCTGTGGTGCAGTTGGATTCCATTAGTTCCTGCACATGGATTGGGACCTCCCCCACTTTGAGAATGGGTCTGTGCCTTGGCACATGTTCTTTCTTTTGTCTTTTCTTTTTTGAATGTCTCCCATTTCTTTTGTTTGTGTTTAGTTTGGTGGTTCTATTGTTTGTTCACCCTTCTGGTTGTTTGGGGTCTTCTCCCACTTCTGTGCTGACCCTGTCAGCACATCACTCCTTGAATGGCTCTCTGGGTGCACAGGTGGCTGTGTGATTGTTGCCCTATTCCATGGTCTCTTATTCAGTTCACTTCAGCAATCCTCTCTGTTTTGTCAACAACATTGGATCTGCTGGCCATGGTCCCCAAGTTTGCAGCTTTGTTCAGGCTTGTGATTTCGGCATTCTTGTGGGTGTTTGCGACTCGGTCTTTGGTCTCGTATTCCTAGGAAGTGCCACACACTGACTTGGCATTGGGTGAGTTGCCACAGTGTTATGTCCCTGTGTGTTGTTCACAACTTCATTCCTTCCTCAGAGTCAGTCTTCTCGGTGTTCCTACTTGTTCTTCTTGGTTAGATAGCTTAGGGAGCTACTAAAGGGGAACCTCACAGTAAACTAGCACCGAATGTAATGAAAGGCTTTTATCTGGTGGGTCACTCAGTAGCTTGCCATTCCTACCTTATAGGTGGTGTGTGAATGACTGGGTTGCAGCTGGGGTGATAGAGGCAACCATCTGGTGACAAGCATGTGCTATTAGCCAGTGGTTCTGGCCAGCTAATGACTATATAGATTCAAGGATGCAAGTGGGATTCATGCACTTATCTGTGTAGGTGCTTACTAACTTTCTAGTGGTCTTTCTCTTGGTTACTATGGTGGTCCTAGACCCCCAGACTTATCTTCCTTCTGTTGATTGGACGAGATAATGTTACTGGTCTCTGTTAGGCAATTGTGAATTAATAAAGCCTTGTGTGGCATTGAGGGTTTGACAGATATACCAAATGTGTTCATCACGGAGATACAAAGGGACCCACCAGAAAGAGGTGCTTCATTACATTCAACAGTGAGTTTTTGTTCAAGGAGAGATGAGGTGGGGCATGTGGCATGTAAATCAAAACTGAACTTCAAGTTCTTCATTGCTTGGTGTAGACCTGTTAGCTACAACATTTCCAGCTTGACTTTTCTGAAAGGGGCTTCCCTCTGCATCTCCCTGAGTACCTACCTGGAGCACTCCAAACCCACGTATCATACCAAATCTCTAACAAATCATGAGCACTTACCATACGCTTAGGGAAGTAGGGATACAAGATTAGCCACATTGCCGAAGGAAAAACTACCAGAAAGGTGACGTGCATCAAAACATACAACTGCTTGGACACATTGGCAACCTTTATTAGAATTATATATACACATATTCTAGGTCTAGCTCCACGCTTGTCACTAGATAATAGCCTCAGCAACCCAGGGGTCAGATTCTTGGGATGATTTTGGTTCACGTTATTTTGAAGTTTTGGGCGTTTGCAGCTTTTCTTGTTGCTTGGGGCCATTGATGATTGGGGCAGTGGCTTAGCTGTTATTTGTGCCTCTCTTCTAAAAATCTGGCAGGGTGTTAGGCTCTGCCCCTGAGCCTAAAATTAGGCTCTGCTCCTATATGTACTCCTGGCCCCTACATACAATCTTATCCACAACATTCACTCTTATCTCCCATATACATTCCAATTCTCTCACATGCTCTTCTATCACCCCCACATTCATTTCTATCTTTCATGTGCACTCCTATCCCCCCACATGCACACCTATCCCCTCTCACATGCACTCCTATCCCCCCTCATATACACTCCTATCCCCCTCATATGCACTTCTATCCCCTCTACATGCACTCCTATACCCCCCTCACATGTACTCCCCTACACTCCAGCATAGACAAACTATTCTCTATCAGATGTTGGGCCTCAAAGGTTGTTGGGCATGGCATAGGTGTTTATTAGCTTTCAAAACCCTTCAGTTCCCTGTGCCCAAGGCTGTTCTATGACTGGCTGACTGGGGTTAGCTGGCCAGTAGCTAACTGGCTGGCTGGAGAGAGAACAGATGTTTGAGACTAGGCAAGGTGATACAGCTGCTCAGTTGGGCAACCTACCATCAGTCAATTCTGAGGAGCAATGTTCCAGTCAAACCACAGTTGGATGCTACTGTAAGGAGTCCCCACACACTCCTATTCTCTACTTGCACAATGCATGTGGGAGACAGTGTATGTGCATATATGAGTACATGTGGGGGACAGGAGTACATGTGCTCCTATCACCCACTTGCACTCGCATATGGGGACATGAGTGCATGTGTGTGATAGCAGTGCGTGTGGGTGATAGGTATACTTGTACTCCTAGCCCCAACAAACAGTCTTATCCACAACATTCACTCTTATCTCCCATATGCATTCCTATTCTTCTACACGCATTTGTATCACCCCTACATTCATTTCTATCTTCCACATGCACTCCCCCCCCCCTCCACATGCACTCCTATTCCCCCTCACATACACTCCTATCCCCCCCTCACATGCACTCCTATTTCCCTCACATGTACTGCCCTACACTCCAGCACAGACAAATTTCCCCTCCCCCCACTCCCTTCTTATGACTGACAAGGTGGAGGAGCTAGGATGGGGAGTTTGATAGCAACCCATCCTCAAACCAGGCTCATTAATGCAGCGGCCACCCCACTGCATCACAGTCATCAATTTTCCTATATTTTGCATTAAAAAAGTGTTTTTTCATATATATACAAATTAATGCAATATTATTAGATATTAAAGTTCTGTTTATGGTTAGGCATAGGTTAGGTTGAGTTATGTGTTTAGAATCCGTTGTTGGCGATAATTTGTATTTGTTTTACATGGGCGAAACATTTACAGAGTTGCGGTTCGAAAAGAGGTTGTCAGTGAAGCACTGTTTGAAAAATGTTCAAACCTCATCAGTTCTGAGTCGTGTGTAAACCATTTTTCATTCATTAACAAGGTTTGGCAGCTGAATTAACAAGCATTTGGCCATCATTAATGCGGACAGGTTGTTGATAGTGATAAATTTGTAAGACCACTATCTTTCTTGTTCATAATTTACTATGAGTGGTTGGTAATTTTTGTTTTTTATGCAAATAATATGAGTCCTTACAATTTATATTTATAAAATCATGTCTTATCAAATTGATAGACATGATTTATCTATCTTATTGATAAAATCATGTCTTCTTATTGTTTCAGTAACCCTATGAACCTTTAATGTGCTGATATAGGTAATAATTTGCATTGTTAGGAACACATCTCCATACAAATAATACTCTAGTGACCCCCCTTATAGCACTGATTATGTTAATGTTCCATATCCAAGGATTCATCCCCGGCATGAAACGAAGTACACATGAATACCATATACATATACAGTACAACTATTCTCTTGTGTCATAGAATTACAGATTAGTATAGGTGCCTGTAGTTTTATATATAAATATGTATATTTTTCAGATACTGTACTGTAATTGTATAATTTCTTTATTTGCATAATTTTTCTGGGGGAGCCCATGTGGCTCCTCAGAGCTTATCCAGGTTGATATAGATATATTAGATTTTGGCATAAGTCAGTGTGAATGGTGTTCTTAGGCCTACCGGGGACCATGAACCAGAACCTGGCCCCCCTCACAAAGGTATGAGGAGCAATGTCCTATAGAATTGCACATGTGATTTGGAGCATTCTATGTCTGTTATCAACCAGGTCAGGCACCCAGAATGGTAAGCATCCCAAAACAAACCCCTATTCTAGTTGAAACTACTACTGAAAGTCAAACAAGTGGACAGAACTCCCCAAAGACAAACGAGCATAACGTCACCACGTGCCTCGCCGCCATCTGCACAACTCCCCCCCCCCCCCCCCCAAAGGGGAAAGGGGAAGCCCCAGACCCCTCTTCTCCCCAATGGCTATCCACACCCCAGTTCTCGGCTGATGTGTTTGAGGCTTGGTCTTGTGACTCCAGCTCCTGATTTTGTGCTTGATGTGCTGTGCCTTGTGTCCAGTGCTGTCTTTAGGTGGTGCGTGAGCTGGGAGTAAATTCACAGGTGCTCGGGCTGCATGCGCTTAGGGTTTCCTTCCTTCCTACAAGTACCCTGTAAGTACCGCTCTTGGGGCTTCGGGCCATCTTCCACAAGTCACCTTGGGATCTACCTCTGTTTGGTCTTTTGCCGCTTGGTAAATGACAGCCCTGAATGTGCTGTGGGGTTTCCTCCTCCCTTGTTTACCTTAGGTAAGGGGTAGTTAGCACTCGTTGGGTCACAGGGTACTGCACAGCTAGTTATCACCTGTTATACCAGCCAGCTCTGTTCCGCCTGGGTACGTTGTCCTCTTGCGGGATTTTTGTTTTGTTTTTGTTGTCCTGCCTGTTAGGGGTAGGGTCTGCCTTGGTTCGTTGCCCCCTATTTATATTTAAGTTTATATAGGTATTTGTGTTTCTGGATGGTACTTCCTGCTAGGGCCCCCCCCTTGAGTGCACACATCCTGGGGGTTCAGCTTTTAGAAGTTTGATTGGAAGATTTGGGCACTGGTTCGCAGAACCCTGCCTGGGCTTACCCTTAGTGATACCAGTTTAAGGGCCCTGGACAACCCTGCGAGGGTGCAAGGGGTCTGATGGATGAGACCCCTGGGTCCCCTCTCACCTTGTGGGAGTTTGAGGATTGCTCTGTCCCCTTGTCTCAGGGTGACTCACTGGTTTTGCCTCCATCATGCTGCATGTTGGGTCGGTGACACCTTCGACCCAGAGTCCTGCAAGTTTTGCTGCTTGTTTGTGACTCAGTTCACCCTGTCCACTGATGACTATCCGGGTGCAGGCGACTCAGGTGTTGCATGCTATATATATAGGTTGCTGCAATGTGTTAGGTTGATTGCTACCCCGGAAGCCCTGAAGCTGCCCCATTTTGCTTATAGGGTCCTGGACTTGGGGGGGGGGGGGGGTGTGTTGGTCGCTTCAGCCTTGGTTCAGTCTGCACCCCCTCTTTCTTCCTCTGCTATGGTTCATTCTGGTCCCCCTTCTCCTCTGCTTCTGGTTCCGAAGCATCTGAGGACTTCAGGGTCGAGGCAGGGTTTAGAAGGTTCTGAGTCTCGGGCAGTTTCAGGGGTTATCCCTTCCAGGGGGAGACGGAGGCATTCAAGTCGGTTCCTCCAGGCGTGACAACGGGGACTGACCAGTGGGGCCTGCCTCCCTCCTTGCTCCCCTTTCCTTCCTGCCTTTCTAGCTGCCTCGGCTTTTTCTTGTGAGGCCGGGGCTTTGTAGGACGACTCGGCCCCAGGTCCTGGTGTGGAGGTTCCCGGGGTTGGGGAGGGGCTGACTTGGGGGCCTTGGGCCCTATTGGACCTCGCCTGGGTTTTCCTACCCTCCGAGCAGGGCTTACTGTTACAAGAAGGGGGTTTTCTTTCGCTCTCTGCATACGCGTTGGATTTGGTGACTCTGCCTCCCCGGGTTCGGTTCCGTGTCCCTTCGGGTCCATCGGTTCCATCCTTCAGGAGGTTTACGGCTTCCCGCGTCTCGCCTACTGAGGTGCGGGCGGGCATTGCGGCTTACTTCCTGTGCGACCCGGATTATGTCTCTATAATGGATCCATCTTCTTTCAGGTTTGGGTCTTTGTCTCCATATTGTGTTTGTTATGAGGTTCCAGGGTCGTCCTGGCTAGCGAACTGCCCTGTGTTGTCTTTGGATGCTTGAGTACTTTCTGTGGTACCCCGCACACTTTAGTGGCGCGAGGTATTGACAGTGGTCCAGGTTTACCTGTGGGGGGGGGGGGGGGAATTCAAGCACCTCAATGCGTGTTTGTTCGCCCCTGCCCTTCAGCAGGATGTTGGCATGGTTCAGCTTCATATGCAGGCTCCCTCCCTTTTGGCTGCATTGGCAGCTGAGGACTTGCGTGCTCGTGGCCTGCTGATGTCGGTCTTGTGGTTCTTTTCCCTCCTGGAGCGCTGTCTTCGGATTGGCTTGAGGAGGATGTGGAAGCGCTTGGGGCCGTTCCTGGGTTTGGTGCCTTAGTCTCGGGACTCGTGCGTCTTCTGCGCTGAAGCTGTTTGTGCCGATCCTGAGGGATGCAGTGTCGCAGTTTTTCGCTTCGCCTCTCGCATGTCTGCAGGTGGTGCTTGCTTCCTCGTTAGAATCTGCTTTGACCCTGACTCTTCAGTTTTCATCTCTGTTTTGTCCCTTGCTGTTTGTATAGTTTGTGGTTGGGCAGTTTCTGCACGCAGCCTCTTCTAGTTGTCGTCCGATGACGAACTTGTTGGTTTTTCGGGGGTCTCAGGAGTATTCCTTCCGGAGGGGTCTTGCCTGGGCTCAGGGTTCCTCTCATCGTGGTAGGTTGCTGGTGCCAGTTTCTGGGCCGGCGCTGCCTTCGGACCCATCTTCATCTGGTCCGCGAGGTGATCGCTCTGTGCATAAGTTGGGTTCTTGCACAGGGCGTCAGCTCTCTCGCAGTTCGCCCCATGGGGGGGGGGTGGAGGTTTGCGTTGTTCGCTCACGCCTGGTCTCATGATTTGTGGGCTTTTCGGGACGTTTCCGATGGCCTGTAGTGGTGTTGGGTGGCCCCTCCTCCTTCGGGGGATTCGGGGCTAACGGGGCAGGCCTCTTCTCCTGTGCTCTGTCGGGTCATCTTGGAGTGGGTACGCTTGGGCATTGTCGAAATGACAGCGTCCTTCAGGTGGGTTTCCCGTCTGTTCCCAGTCCCATGTGCGACCTGAGGTTTAGTTTCAGATTCCGATTCTTCATTCAGGTAAAGGTACATACATTGCAGATGAGTTACAAACATAATGTTGGATTTAAAGAAAGAGCTAGTACATACAATCCCTAAAGCCACTAGTATGCATAGCGTTTCAGGCAAGGTGAGGGTGGAGGGGAACTTGGACTAAAACTTACTACTAATTACTAATTAGTTCATTCTGGACTTGTCCCATTTGAACCCCCTGAGTCTTTTGCCTCTCTTTTCAGATGACTACATTGTCCCAGGTCCGGCTTCCATTGGAGCCGGGTGCTTGGATGGTGTCTCTGGACCTCTGGGATGCATATTGGCACATCCCAATTCATCCAAGGTTCAATGATTGGCTCGGTTTTGTTGTGGGGTGTCTCGGTTACCGCTTTCGTTGTCTCCCGTTCGGGTTGAACCTGGACCTTGAACCCAGCAGTCACGAGAGAGGTGGAAGGAATGTCCCCATAGGAAATAGAACAGCAAACAAAGCCAAACCTGACCATCACAGCAAAGTTCAGGCTCCCACACAAACCCTTGAGCAACTGCTGAGTTACCCAGGAGCCCCTCCCCCCCCTCCCCCCCCCCCAGAAACAAGCAAAGGCGGGAGCGTAGCCAAAGCAGAGACTCCAGAGGGAGAGACAAGGAAGTGGTCCGAGAGTACCACACAAGACCCAGTCAAGTCCAAACGTGAGCAAGCAAACACGCGGACTGGCTGGGAGCCAGGGATCTGGTTCTTTCCCAGCTCACCGGGTTTGGGTTCCTGGTGAACTGGAGGAAGTCCCATCTGGTTCCCTCTCACGTTTGGACTTGACTGGATCTTGTGTGGTACCCTCAGACCAATTCCTTGTCTCTCCCTCCGGAGTCTCTGCTTTGGCTACGCTCCCGCCTTTGCTTGTTTCTGGGGGGCTCCCAGGTCACTCAGCGGTTGCTCGAGGGTTTGTATGGGAGCCTGAAGTTTGCCGTGTTGGTCGGGTTTGGCTTCATCGGATATTCTGGTTCCTTCGGGAATGTCCCTTCTGCCTCTCTTGCGACCGCTGAGTTAGGGGCCTTGCATCAGCTGCTGCGTCTTCGGGTTTTTTGGGGTTCAGTGCCTTGGGGCCTACCTGAGCCCTCGCTCGATGTGTTCACGTACATGTTGTTTCTTTGGCTGGGGCTTTGTGACTAGTGCTCACCAGGCCGGCCAGGGGCGGTGGGGTCCATCCTTCCATCGGGCCCACAGCACAGTGCGGGAGTTCATGGCTGTGTGGATGTCGCTTCAGAGGATTCGAATCGCTCGCAGATTAACGATCAGGCTCCAATCGGACTGCTCCTTGATGTTTCATTGCCTGAACCTAGGGGATTCGATGCAGTCCTTGGCTCTTTGAGGCTAGTCTCTTCGGGTGATTCGTCCGCTGAGTTCTCGGGGTTTGGCTCTCCTGGCTGTTCACAATCGGGGGGGGGGGGGGGGTGTCCAACGTCCTAGTAGACGGCCTGTCTCAGTTCATTCTCCTGTTCTCAGACTGGACAGTTGACGCCTACTCATTCAGTTTGCTCTGCCGGACGTATGGGCTCCCAGAGGTGGACCTCTTCGCATCGGCGTCTCCCGGTTTCTGTGGCGCCCTTCCCCGACTGCAAGGCCGTCGGGGTCAATGCTTTCCGGCTGGACTGGTTGGGGTGGGGTTTCCTGTACCTCTTTCTCCTGGTTCCGCTGTCACTATAGATCTTGGCTCGCTTGGAGACTTAAAAGGGAAGAGTAGTCCTCTTGGTTTCTTGGTGGCCGGCCAGCCTTGGTTTCAGGTGCTACATTCTCGGTGTCCAAACCCAGGGTTTTTCACATGGCTCAACTTCTTTCAGCTGATCAATCCAGTTCGATATGTGGCTGGTTCGATCATCTCCTCGAGTCTTCGTGTCTGGTATTTTTGACTCGAGTCTATCACCATCTGTATGGTGATCAGGTGACTTCGTTAATGGTATATACCTGGTATATATATAATGGTATATACCCAAGGGATACCTGATCAACCAGGCTGTGACTCATACGTCAGCCTGTGAGCAGCCACGTCCAACAGCCTGGTTGATC